GGGGCCCCAGTAAGCCATCCTTCCCCGGAGAGAAATGTCAGCATTGACTGGCTTAGGAACCCCTGACCTCTCACAGACCCGGGGGTGGGGGGGAGGGTGGTCCCAGCTGGTGGTGAGGCGCAGAGGTCAGAGGGGCCCACCAGAAAGCACAGCAAGCCCCTCTAGCAGCATTTTTATTTACAAACAGCGATTTCCATGGACTTTTATTTATACCATAAAAAAGCCATTTACAAGCAAGAAACAAGAATCCCAAACGAAATTAAGCAGCACTGAAATATGCATGTCACGAATCTAGAACAAAAGGAGTCCGAGAGTAAAATATCATTTGAATAAATAGTCTTAACTCCATGCTATAAAATAATCCTTAATGGCAAGTTACTAGTTGGGACAGCATCCGCTTAGCTAGCTTCATTTACTTCACATGGTGATGAAGTGTGGCGTTGTGAGGTTACCAGTTTATATTGCAAGATAATGACACTGTGTCGAGTCATTCAAATTGCTCAACCATTTCTAACGGAAGGAAGGTGAGCCCGACGGGTTACAGTGGGGAGAGACGGTTTCACATTAGGAAAACGGGCCTTCCCCGAGAGCCAGGCCCCACCTCCCCCTGTGTGAGGGCGGCCACCCCGGGCGGCCAGGCCGGGGCTGGCTTCACAGCATGCTTGTCCCTGAGGGCCAGCGGGAGGTCTGGTCAGTGAGCTGGCAGCCGGGCCGACTCCAGCCTCGGCGCAGAACTACCCGAGCCCCGTGTGCGTGGACCCGGACCCCGAGGGGCAGGGTCCCTCCCAGGCCGGGATGCTGAGCCCTGGGCCTTGGCAGTGGCACCCCGCCGGACGTCCTGAAGACGACGGGGAGGGGATGGATGGGGCAGCCGTTACAAACTGGGAACAATGTGAATGACTCTTCCGAACCCTCGGTTCAGCTGCACTGAGTAATATGAATTCTAAGAATTATGAACTAGATAGTTTCATATAAAGAATTTACATAATTCCCCAATACTTTCATATATAAAATTTAATAAATAACCCTGACCAGTCTAGAAGCACCATTCAAGGGCGTGCGCCCCTGGAAAATAGTTTAGGTGTTGCATATTTGAGTCCCTTTCAGTGGAGGCATCACAGGAAACCCTTAGAGAATCGAACAGTAACGACGACAACAGCAAAACAACAAAATCACAGTATGAATAGAAAAAGTTGTTCAAATAAAATACACGGATTTCTTTAAAGTAAAGCTCATTCACATAGATGATTGGCCCCGCCCCGACCCACCCCCCAGCCCTTGTTTTGTGTTCCTGCAAATTCTTCCAAGAGTATGTCAAACAAACAAATGAACAACACACACACACACACACACACACACACACACACACACACAATATGTAGGCCTATGGTCTGGGTGAAGGGAAAAACAAAGACTGAGCTAGAACTAGCATCAGAAAGAGGTCTCCACGCGCATTGGAAGGTTTAAGAATGATCAATGTAGTCCTACAGTATATTCTGCTTAACAGTGAACCGACAGTATCCTTTCTGCTGTTAAAAACAAATTAAAAAAAAAAAAAAAAACAAAAAACAGAAAAAAAAAAACCAAAATAACTGTCCAGGCAGAGCCAACTGGAGACTCCTCGCCAACCCAAACATGAATTTGTTCCCCTACGTGATATTTACAAATATAATTTTTTAAATGTATTTACAGCTTTAGTAGAGGAGAGAGAACGGATCAGAATGAAAAGGAGGTGTTTCAAACCACACACGTTAGCAAAAGTAGAAAATTCTTTGTCTTCACAGTTTGCAAGAACAGGTTCGACACCCGGGGAGGAGGACGCTGCACTGTCTTCACATTGTGGGCAGACCGGAAAGGGAGCTCGGGAGACTCAGCTAGAACCGCCTAAGGAACCCGGGAGAGAGATTTCACTGTCAGAGTTCTTCACGTCACTCTGCTCTGCCGCTGACTTTTTGCATCTGTCAGACATGAACATCGAACCTAAAACTGTACGGGGACAGGGACTCTGCTTTTCCCAGAAGGGTCGATCTGACTTAGGACTTACACAGCGCACTTCGCCTGCCAGCTGGACGCGCGAGAAGGGCTCGGTGCTGCGGCCGGGGGGCCTCCGGGCACACCCTCGCGTGACAAGGCACAAGGAACTGCTGCCGCCCGACCGATGGGAAGGGAGCTTGTCGCCTGCCCGCCCTGCGCGCGGAGGGCAGGCACGAGGCGCGCCCCGAGAGGCCGCCGGGCTCCGGGCTGGCCTCGCGCTGCCCCCGGGAGGCCCGCCGGGCCTTACAGTACTGGGTTATGGCTTGAGAATTCCCTCTTAGCACTGCGAGCAGTGGAAGGGTTAAGGGTTAGCAACAGGAATGAGAGCACGTGGGACTTGCCCCGTGTGGGATCGTGGTTCTCAGGAACGCCACCGACTTCCTGCCCGGGCACAGTCCCCTTACAATGTTTGAACCTGAACTGTACAATCAAAGCAATGTCTAGGTTTGTCAAAGACAATTTTGGATAAGTCACTCTTTGGTAAACTCAAACCAGTGAAACAAACGGACAACTACAAAGAACTCCATGGAAAGAAGGCTCAGACAGACACGGGTGACAAGAACCAGGACACGCCAGGCGCCTGCCCCAAGTGCTCACGCTCCTCCCCCTGGCTGGAGGATCACAGAACGCTGGAAGGAACCTCGTGGGCGGCACCTCCCAACCTGAGGGAAAAGGAGGTTCCTTCCCTGAGCCTGACTCTGGACATTTTCTTGTCACGAACTGAATCTGTGTCACAACACCAAAAAAATTAAAAAAAAAAAAAAATTTTTTTTTTTTTTTGCATTTAATTCTTTAAAAAAGAAAAAAAGAAAGATCAAAACCAAAGTATTCATGTAAGGAAGAAATTAAAACTGAATCACAAACATTTACCTGAAACCCCAGAAGACATTTCAGTGGGTAAACACATGGGGTCCAGCCGCCCCCCCAGGCACCCGGCTTGGACAGGGCCGCCGAGTGGTTCCGGAGAGGCGGCTGTCGTAGGCAGTCACAGGAGAAAGGCATCCCATATACCCGATGGCCCGCTCCGAGCGGCAGCTCCGAGCTGGCATAACACTGATGTGGGGGTGGCAGCCGCGGGGGTGGGCTCCTGACACAGCTACCACCCGGGGCACGCACACACAAGGGCCTGAATGAGTTCTTTTCCTCAATACCCCCTCCCCCCACCCCAAGCCCCCCCCCAAAAAAAAACAACAACAACAAAAAAACCAACAAAAAAACAAAACTCAAAAATAACCCACCATTCTTGGTATTTTAAGAGCCAGAAAAGCACGGGAAGCCAGCGAACGTGTGGATCTCGCGGGAGCCTCTGAGGTTGGCTGCTCTCCCGGGGGTTCCCTGGTGGTGAGCCTGAGAGCCGAGGTTCTCCAGCCGGGGGTGGGGGCCGCCGACAGCCCACCTGCGGCCCAGGGCTCTGCGGACACAGCCCGGGCCGCGTTCCCGTTCCCCATGGCTGGAGCCGCAGACACTTCCTGCGACGCTGGTCCAGGCTTCCTCCAAAGGGCTCTGGGCAGGGGTCACAGCCGTGTCTGCCAGCACCGGCTTTTGAGGTCTCTTTCAAGCTCTGAGCTTGGGAGGAAAGAATTGTAATTCAGTATTACCATTAGATTTCACATTTTCTACGACTATACTGACCTAAGAGGATACGGAACATAAAAGATAGCACCACGTGACCCGAAAGACGGGGACACACACAGACGGGGCACGCCGAGTGGCTGAGAGGGCATGTGGACTGTTGGTTTCTTTGAGCAGGAAACACTGAGTGGGGAGCCGCCACGGCTCTCGTTAGCACACAGGATACTAAGATATATTGCTTGCAATTCCCATAGAGTCTATCTTTACAAAAAAGGTACAAATTCCGAGTTCTGCAGTTTCCCTGGGAACCGCGTATAGAAAAAGTTGCTGTGCACCTGAACTGGCTGTTTGAAGAGAGGAAGAAAGAAGATACAAACCACAACACTGCTCAGAGAAGTCTGTAGCCGGCGCTACAAGTCCCTTTCCTTAATGCAAGGACCAACTCACGGGAGGGTGATTCGACTGAGTTACCTGGTATGCTTGTTTCTACAGTACGGAATGAAGGTAGATTCGTGGCCAGTGAGAACGCGGAGCAAAACTGCTCCTTGGGGGCTGGCTAAGAGAACTACACTATGGGAAAAAAGGTCAGCACCACGGGCCATCCGGCTCACTCCCTGGACAGCCGACAGAAATTCCAAATGGTTTCCAACTAGAGTTAAATACATCTTTTATGGCATTTGGTTTATGTGTTTGTCATGAAGCACAGCTAGAAACACTGTGATTTGCTTTGCTTGCTTTTGGACACAATTATTAATAATAATAATATTATATGAAAACCTATGAACATTCTTTCGTAAAGGAAATAAAGGGGTAAAACCCTAGCGTATTAGGTAAGGTCGAGACAGAGTCAAAAGCCCTGTTCACATTGTATTAAATTATATATTCCTCTTACATTCACCTCAACCAGAATAAAATCAAATTTGAGAATGTATATATACCATATATATAATAATCGCTTTATTATATATATATATATATATAAAAATTGTCTAACTATCCTTAAAAGTCACTTTAAATTAGAAAAGGTTACCCATTTGTATCGGCTGACGGAACCCTAGTTTCTCTCCATGGAAATGCTCGGCGCCGACGCAGACACCGAGAGCAAGCGTGCCTCTTGGCAGAGCGGGTCGGGGCAACCAGCTGGCACCACTAAACCACCGGCGGGTTTTGGATGAGGAGTTCAGCCACAGAGGGACTGTCAGCCTACTGAGTTTTCCCTGGATACGCAGCCCTGCGTGCGCTGAGCTCCTGCGGGGAGGGAGGCTGGGGGGTGGGGAGGGGGCGGGGAAGGATTAACACTCCAAAGTGTTCCTTCCAGAAACCCTAGAAAAATTGCCAAGAGACCAAGAGATTTCCAGATGGTTGGGAAAACCAAGGATTACACCAAAGCAAATCACAACTACGCATGGACTAATGTGCTTTGTCGGGGTGCACGCATTCAGCCTCGTAATCGGGTGCGTCGGACACCGTGTGGATTTCCATGCGGGAGTCCAGGGTTATCTCGGAGGCCGAGGCATCGCTGTCCAGTTTCTGCTCCGCGTACACGTCTGTTCTCTCGGGGGACTCGATGCGGCTCCGGACCTCGGCCACGCCGGGGTGGTTCTTCCGCAGGTGCTGGTTGAGGGTGCCCTGGAAGGGGAAGCACTTGCCGCAGATCTCACAGCGGAAGGGCTTGTCGTCGGTGTGGCCGCGGATGTGGTACTCCAGCTGGTCCTTGCGGGTGTACTTCTTCCCGCAGAACTTGCACACGAAGGGGGTGATGCCCATGTGGAGCCGCATGTGCCTGTCCAGGCTCCCTTTCTGGTTGAAGGACTTGCCGCAGTAAATGCAGATCAGCCGCTCGTTGTACGGGTACCAGTGGCCCCGCACGCCCCTCTCCCGGGGACTGCTCTCGTACCCGGGGTTACTCATCAGCGCGTCGCTGTCGGAGCCCTGCACCAGGCCCTGGAAGTCACTGTGCAGATGGACGGCCAGAGCCCGCTTCTGGCGGGGGCGCCCGCCCCGGAAACAGCTCAGCATGGACCTGGACGGGCTGGAGCTGCTCAGGTTCCCGAAGGCTTCGGAGACGCTGGGGGGCTGGGAGGTGGCCTGGGAGTAGGAATAGGCGTGCTGCAGCACCGAGCCGTACGACCCCACGTTGACGGCCACCACCTGCTCCCCGTCCACCAGCTCGGTGTGGTACCCGTCGTCGCCCAGGGAGGAGCTGTCCGAGCAGCTGGGCCGGTCGGACTTCTCCACCTTCACCTTCACCTCGGTGATCTGGCTCTCCCGCACCAGCAGCTCGCCCTGCTCGTGGTCCCCCTCGATCTGCACCTCGTACTCGGACACGCTCCCGCTGCTGCCGCGGTCCGAGTGGCCTTCCTCCTGCAGGCGGCTGCGCAGCACCTTGCTGGGCGTGGTCTCCATCCGCAGGTCGCCGCCGCCGCCGGCCGGGGGCGGCCGCACCTGGGGGCAGTACGGCGGGGAGATCTCCACCGGGTTGGCGAAGAAGCTGCCGTCTTTGACGCCGTTCTGGCTCTCGCCGGCCTCCTCGGCGCCCACGGTCACGGAGTCCACGTCCCCCACGCTGATCTTGGAATGGATGCTCTCGAGGATCTGCGTGCACTTGTCGATGACACACTGCATCTGCAGAAAGCTGGCCGCGGTCAGGAAGCTGACCACGTCCTTCAGCTGCAGGGACATCCTTCCAGTGTAACAAAAGGACAGCAACTGCTCAAACACGCTGGGGTTCTTGATCACCGAGATGGACAAGCCGCTCATGGTGCTGAGTGCCGAGTGGTCCCGGAAGTAGGGGGAGCTGGCCGCCAGGACTGCCTTGTGGGCTTGGAACGGCTGGCCCTGGATGTGCACGATGATGTCGCATAGTTTCCCTTGCAGGCGGAGTTCGTTGAGCTGGCTCAGAACGGTGCTGCTGTACTCGGGCACGTCAAACTGAATGAAACTGCTGCTGTCCATTGCTACTGGCATGAAACAGAATCTGCGGAGACAAAGAGTTTTCGTGATTCACCACCGACTCCCCACACGGGTTCCAGCGGCACAGCCCGAGCTCGCGGGCTGCACGGCCACGGCCACCCCTGCCGCGGCCACCCCTGCCGCGACTGACCCTCACGGGGGGGGGGGCTGCCCCAGCTCCGGTCCCTCACTCCCGTCTTCCAGGTCTGGGGAATTCAGCTTAGGCCAAGGAAACAAAAGATCTACTAGCCCACGGATAGAATGCTGAGCATACACCCGGGTCAGTAGGGGGGTCATTTCACCCAACTGGGGATTTGGTGTCCTTATGGGAAAAATAGTTTTGTTTCACCTATTTTTGGGGCTCTGAAGTTCCTTGTAGAGGAGTAAATAAGTTCGCAGAAAGTTGGTCTGCTTTCTCGTATCGGTGTTCTCAAGCCTCGAGCATCTGCATGGGATAAGCGGAACGAAGCCCTTAGCTTTCAGAATGGGAGTCGCGGGCTGGAGAGATGCTCAGTGGCCTGAGAGCTACGGGCTTTGTCTGCAGGAGGCCCCGGATCCCTCCCCGGCACCACGTGGTCCCAGAAGCAATTCCAACCAACCTGCCAGCAGAGCGGCTCCTGAGCACTGCAGGCTGTTGTCAAACACAAACAAAAAGAGGACGTGCCTCACCCCCATTTTTTCTCTTCGGCTCAATACACCTTTCTAATATTTTGGGTTGGTCACTGACTGAGCAATGCCCAGTCCTCTTTGAGGATGTTTCTGACGGAGTGATAGGCACACCCAAAGTGTGTTTCCCCCCACCCCCCACATCCCCATTGTACATGGGGTGGGCACCCCTAGTACAGGCTGGCTTCCCTGATTTGGAATTGGCACCACAGAAGCCTTCAAGCCTATGCAAGTGTGGCTGCCATCCCTGACCAACACAACCAGGTATGAGGGACTATTTCAGTTGTTTGTTGGTTTGGGGAGGCCCACTCTGCAATGCTTCTGATCCAAGCTGGCACCCAGCGATTGTAGGATAACAACTGATTTGTCCTTTCTCCCTTCCCACAAGGAGCTTAGGTTTATTGGGTTGCACCCATCACAGTGCTCCCGAGTCACTCCCATTCCTATGTCTGTAACCACTTCTATGCTCTCTCCTCAACCAGTTAATCAGCTTTTCCCCTAATCAGAATCTGTTCATTTGTAAGGTCAGATCCTTCTAGGACACTGAACTTGTATTGTAAGTTAATATTGCCCTTCTCTCCTTATGTCTTTTGAATAGTTTAATGCAATGTCCTTTGTGTATAGATACAGGAAGACAGTTAACATGATGCTTTGTAACTTAGGATTTAAGTGGCTTTGAATATTATTCATTCCCGGGCATCTGTTTTCTCAACTGAAGTCTTGGTTGCCCTCACTTCCTAGCACCCCTAAAGCAGGGTCCCGACCAGGGACTTGTTGGAACCAGGGCAAGCGGTAAGCTATGTGCTACTCTGGCATCGAGATGGGCCAGGCCAAAGTGCCACAATTTTTAACTATAAGCTAAGAGTTTTATCACAGACAAATGCTGTCATGATCCAAAAGTAACGACGAAACGAGGACCCTGCTAAGAACAGGAAAGACTATCTGGCCTGACCACTGTAGTCGGAGATCGAGATGGCCCTAGGAGAGCAATTCTATAAGCTAAATGTATTTCTTACTGTGTCCATACAAAATTATTTATATTATGTATGCTTATATGTTTGTTGGACAAGGAGAGGAGAAACGCAACCAGGAGATTTCGTTCTAGGGTGGGTTGATCTGCTAAATGAGAACCTGTCCTAGAAGCGGCTTTCCCAAGGAAAAGAACTCTATTCCCTATTGATTGTGACCACACCTATGTGTAATTGTTACCCCAACCTGTTGGGGCTGGACGGAGCTGTCAGGGTGAGCCCATGTAGACTGCATCGCACAACAGGCAGGAACTTAGGGACCCATGAAAATTGGCAAAATTTCTTGAGTGTCCTGACTAATTTGGAGGAGGCTGTACATTTTCCCCCTTCAAACTGCCTTCAGTAAATAATTTCAGTATATTGTAAGGGGCAGTTTTCCTTTTCTCACAGAAACCAGACTGGTCTTTGACATACAGATCTCAGGTGCCAACCAGAGATCTTTGGGATGTAGATTCCAGGCTTTAGAGGACTAGTCTTTGGGATGCAAGTCCAAGTGCTGGTAGCCCAAGAAAGGTTTCAGTTTTGGTTTTGTATCTTCTTTCAGGAGGCCAAAATACTGGCCTGCAGATGCAAAGAAAATGTATGTTTTGCCACCTCAATGTTCTTTCTGTAACTCCTTTTGATGACTTCAATGTATTGCGCCCTTTAGAGGTACCAGGATCAATGAAAAGAGAATTCGGGGCTCTCTACCGGGGACACAGGTCTGAGAGAACCTGGGCCCTCCATGACATAAGTTTCTTTTATGGGATATGAGACTGTAAGAGTGGGCTGGGGGAGGCAGAGGAGAGACAGGAGTAAATGGAGAGAGGATTGGAATAAACTGCAACTAAGACCAACCAGACTGGCCCTCATTTCCTTCCTTCGCCTACCCATCGCTATCGACCTCCCTGGAGTGGGGTAAACAGCCTGAGACTACCGCGGGCGGCAGCGGGAGAGATAGACCGCTGCTGTCTTTTTGTGTTCACACAAGTGATGAAACCCAGGATGCCTGTGGGCAACGTATGCACCCCCGCTTGTGAGGCTAATTCCTCGGCCAAATATTTTACTTACAAAATAAGATAACTCAGCCAATCTGGGAGTAAAGCTTACTTATCTTCAACTGACTTGAGGATGTCTTCAAAAAGGGGTGGAAGGAGGAAGGATACGTGAGGGAGCTGAGATGCTCCGAGCACAGCCTGCAGATGTAGCTGTTTACTGCTAAAACCAACTCTGCCCTGTGTGGAATTTCATAATGAAACGTTGGCGGATTTATTATCATTGTTGCTCTGGCACTGCGCCTGGCCGTGCTCGGGGCTTATTCCTGGCTCTGTGTTCAGGAATCACTTCTGGGGTTGAATCATTGTTGGTCGCATGCGAAGACCAGCGCCTTATCTACTGTCCTACTCTCTGACTCCTGTTTAGGGGTTTTAAAACCACGCGCTTCAATAAGGAAAAATCACTTCCTTTGAAGATTTTAGCATTACACATAAAGAATAAAAATTAATGAAATCTCTTCAAGATGATTGAAATGAGATTAATGAAATCTCAAGAAAGGGAATAGTAAATGAAACCTAAAAAGAGCAAACAGGGCAACGTGGTCCAAAACCAAAAAACGATAAAGAGGAGGGGAAAATACAGAAAAAAAAAATCATAAAAAAATGTTAAAACAAAACAACGTGCAACTAAATGTAGGACCCTTGCAGGAAAGGATCAACTGTGAGTGTGACTTTATCATGTCAGAATTTGTTTTTACTATGTGAGAATCTGAGTTAAAACACTGGAGTTATAGAGGAAAACAGTGCTTTTGTTTATCCTAGATTTATGATTGAAATCAATTTGAATCTGTACCGAGGACAGATTCTTAGGATAACATAAATTGCCAGAAATAAACGAAGAAGAAACAACTGCCAAAACACGAAATCTCTCTGGAGCTTTCATGCCTGAGAACCATGTCAAGTGTCCCTGCTTCAGGTAGGACAGATGGCACGCGGGACCCAAACCCACAGGCAGCACTCTGGCAGGGCTGGGCGGGAGAGGAGAGGACCTCAGCCTCCCCACTGGCGCTCAGGCTCAGCGTTTCCAGGGGAAGGGCCAGAGGCAGCCAAGATGCTTGCCTTGCACGCCGCCGACCCAGGTTCAATCCCCACCACCTCATGAGGTCCCCTGGGCACCACCAGGAGTAATCCCAAGTACAGAGCCGAGTGATTCCTGAGCACCACCAGGTGTGGCCCCCAAACCAAAAGTAAGTCAACGAAGCATCTCAGTTCCAAAGGCACAAGTCTGATACCCACAAGACCCTGGGTAAGGCAATTTTCGAGTCCTAAGGAGAGCACTAGTACATAAAACCCATTAGGAAAACGATGATCGAATCAGGAAAATGTGCCTCAGTTCTCAGAGCGACAGTCCAGCCAGTAGTCGGGCACGCGGCCGACCCAGGGTCAGTGTTGATTTAACTCTGTGGTTTTCTCCCTTGATGTTTTCTCAGTGGTGCTCACACAGGCATCTTTACATCTGCAGGAGCAGGCTTGCTTTCCTCTTTCATGACCATACCCAGCCTCTGTGCCATCTGTGCTCAGGGGCACTGGCCTATGCCCAGTGACTGCGGCACACAGGGATGGAACTCAGGCCCTTCTCTGCCTCCTGAGCAATCCCTGGAGCCTGCAGCAGATTTCCCTTTTTTTCTTTTCTGGTTTTGGCGTTACCCCCAACAACGCTCCGGCTGAGCTCAGGAATCACTTCTGGCAGACTCGGAAGACCATATGGGGAGCCGGAGCGCTAATCCTGGTCGAGGCAAGCACCTCGCTGCCGTACTAGCACTGCAGTCTCACAAACTGTTTTCTTTCTTCTTTTCACTCTTCTTGGCTTTGGGGCCACACCTGACAGGCCACTCCTGGCGCGGCACTCCTAGAGGGTTCGGGGAACCACATGGGATGCCAGGGATGGAACCCAGGTTGGCTGCGCGCAAGGCAAAGGCCCTCTCCTATCGCTCTGGGCCCCTTGACATAATGACCAACGTCTATTACAAACCAACAGCGACCCATCCTTAGAAAGGAAGCTTCACGTCTGAATTTCCCAAAGCGCCCTTAGTAGAACCCAGCCCACAAGGGAGCCTCAATAAGCCTAGCTTACCAGAATAAGCCATCTGAGAAGTCCTGCAGACCAGAATTTCATCAAACCCAGCAGTTCGCAAACTCATGTGACAAGTGAAACTCCTCTCTCCAAGCACACAGGCTCATGGCCGAGAGAATGCGTGGTCCCCTGCACAGCTCTGCTACGGCTTTAGTCAAAGTGCTCCCACACCAGGTGGTCCTCCCGTCCCTTCTCTGGCCTTTATTTTCCCTATGTTGTTGAC